GTTGGCATTTTCTGACTCAGGAGGAAGGGAGGAAAGAGAGGAATGGGAGGGAGGACAACTAAGACCTTGCTGGATTTTTTCATACTACAAATATCTGATCAATGTATGATCAAATCATCAGGAGCGTAAGGTGAAGGCCAAGACCATCACATTCCACCGCAAGAAGAACCTTCAGTACTACGACATCTCCGCCAAGTCCAACTACAACTTTGAGAAGCCTTTCCTGTGGCTCGCCCGCAAGCTTATTGGGTGAGTGTTTGATCGTGTGTCGTTTTAAGCTGACCCTCATCTCCCAGAAACCCTGCCCTCGAGTTCGTCGCAGACCCTGCGCTTGCCCCTCCTGAAGTGAGCGTGGACCCTGCGCTTCTGAAGCAGTATGAGACTGAGTTGGCTGAGGCTGCCGCCATGCCCCTGCCTGCTGAGGAAGATGACGACTTGTAAACGGTGCGGTGTTGGATGTCGGTGTTGCCTGGTGTTTTGGTTGCGCCCCTCTCTTTCGTCGTTGCTACTTTTTATTATTGTTGGTTCTTAACAACCTCAGCCCTATCTCCCCATCGTGTGTTTTTGTTTTGACTTGTGCCCTTGCCATTTTAGTTTCAATAAACAGAGAACGCCGCAATATCGGCGTGTTGTCTCAGCAGATTTCTTGATTGGGCCAAGTGACACAATGCTCGGTTTCAGGGTACTGGCTTCCACGCGAGTCAGGCTCTCGCAATGGTGTCCATCCCTTCAAAATACAGCAGTCAAGAAGGGTCTCTACTCGGCTGCTTGCACCGGAAGACCCCGGTCTCTGCAATCCAACGGGATCCTTCTGTCGCTGCAGCGACACTCGTCCAACCTGTCGAAATTACACCACGCGCACCTGCATCCTTCGCGATCCTGGCTTGGTCTTGGCATCGCTTTCAGTATTGGCGCATCCATTGCGTCCGCCTCACTTTGGACTTCTGGCGGCCACCCTCTCTTCTTGAGCGACGACGACAGCGCGAACGGCAGCGACGACGACCTGGAAACGGTTTCAGAAAATGACGCCGAGAACGAGGAAGGCGACACTGAAGTTCGCGAAACGGAGGCTGACACGTCGAAACGGTTGTCGAATTGGGCACTCGTGGGACACATTCTAACTGCCCTGAAACCGGACGCACTCTTGGTTCTGGCTATTGTGGCCGTGACGGCTTGCGCCGCAGCAGTGAACATTGTGACTCCCATTGTCATCGGCCAACTCGTTGGCGCGATTCAAGTTATCGCCAACGCGCAATCGAACGGAACAGGTCCCGTGGACACGTCCGATATCAACGCGCAGGCTCTGCGGTTGCTTGGTCTGTTTATTCTGCAGGGTGAGGCGCCTTGTTGCACATTTTTTCATATGTACCCATTCATCTCTGTAAAGGTTTCCTCACTTGTCTGGACATCAATCTCGTGACTCATCTTGGAGAGCGCTTGTCTTTACGTTTGAGGCGTGATCTTTACGTATCTTTGATGGCACAAGACATGTCATTCTTTGACAGCCATTTGCAAGGAGAAGTTGTCGGCCGCCTGACTCAAGACGTCTCTGAGTTCAAGCACACGTTCAAGCTTGTGATAACGCAGGTTTCAATCGTCTTGTTGTTGCGAATGGAGCACTTTCTCTGATGCCTGATCTTGATTGTTCCAGGGTTTGAAATGCCTGACACAAATCACATTCACTGTGTTCCACCTTTTGCAAGTTTCTCGCAAGCTTTCCTTTGCTCTAATGGGCACAATGCCTCTCCTCTACATTGCCATGAACTTGTATGGGATCTTCTTGCGGAGGCTTTCAAAAGCTGCCAGAAACGGAGACAGTTTTGCTTCCGGAGTTGCTGGTGAAGCCATATCCAATATCCGCACAGTACGTGCATTTGCTGCAGAGGATCGTGAAGTTGCACATTATATGGATGTAGCGCAGGGTGCATCCAAATTGAGTGGGAGACTTGGGTTTCACATCGGACTATTTCAAGGTGAGCAACACGTTTCAGTTCAACAAACTTTCATTTGATCAACATTCAAATTTCGCAGGAATGACAAATACCTCTATTGGGGCCATGATCTTGGTCATTCTTGCATATGGTGGAACGTTGGTGGCTGGTGGCGAGCTGACTGGTGCTCAGCTCATGACATACATGATCTCTACTCAAAATGCTCAACGATCTCTAGCCTCATTGGGAGTTCTCTTTGGACAAAGCATTAAGGCCCTGGGATCTGCGTCTCGCATTTTTGAGTACATTGAATTGAAGCCAACTATCACTGCAAAAACCAATCCCAAAATGCCAGACAATTTTGAAGGTAACTCTGAATCAATTGACCTTTTCCCACTAAATATGCCATCTAGGCTCAATTGAGTTCAAGAATGTTAGTTTTACATATCCAACAAGACCCAACCACATTATTTTGGAGAATTTCAACTTGGAGATACCTATTGGGAAAGTAGTTGCCCTTTGTGGGGCTAGTGGAAGTGGGAAAAGTACTGTTGGGCAGCTAATTGAACGCTTTTATGATGCTGATGCTGGTAGAATTTTGATTGATGGCAATGATATTCAGGATTATGATCCAAGGTTAGTGGGATGTGAATTGGTGGGTTGCTAAATGTAGCTACCCAATAGATGGATTCGCAGTCACATAGGCTACATCAATCAAGAACCCATTCTATTTGCAACATCCATATATGAAAATATAAGATATGGCTGCCCAAATGCCAGCCGTGTGGAGGTGGAAGAGGCAGCCAAAAAGGCCAATGCTGCAGAATTTATCCACACTTTCCCCAATGGTTATGATACAGTTGTTGGCGAGAGAGGTAGGTCTCATTTTGTGGTTTTGTCACGAAACTGACCCTACTTATAGGAGTCACATTGTCAGGTGGTCAAAAGCAAAGGATTGCAATTGCTAGTGAGTTACAAACTCACTCTATATGCAAAATTAAACTCTCTGTAGGAGCTATCTTAAAAAATCCTAAATTCCTTCTTTTGGATGAGGCAACATCAGCTTTGGATAGTTGAGTCAAACACCCCTCACCTATCCCATTCCTTGTGTCACTCACTTTCCACCTTGATAGATCAATCTGAGAGAATAGTTCAAGATGCACTGGAAAAGCTTATGAATGGCCGTACAGTCTTGATCATTGCTCGTAAGTGAGAAGAACGCCTTATCTGCATTTACAGATTTCCATTAGATCGCCTCAGCACAATTCAATCAGCTGATCTGATTGTTGTGATGAGTGGGGATGAAGAACAAAAGAAGAAAAATGGAAATGTAGTTGAAATGGGAACTCATACGAGTTTACTGGCCAAGAAAGGCGCTTATTACAGACTCTATCAAAATCTATCTGAAGGTCAGGAGAATAGTCTTAATTCTTTTTTTGGACTGTTTCGGTTTTAGAAAAGCACAAAAATTATACTTTGAACATTCCAGATGGATTGCTTTGGGTTTCAAGACTGGCCAACCCACAGACGATGATGACTCAACTCCTGATAGCTCTGCCCCCACCCAATCAGCAGATTTCACACAGATTCCCATTAATAGTTGTTGCCTTCAATCACCACAGGAGGTGGCACTGACATTTGCAAAATCCATAGTGAGTTCACCAGGCATCTCTTTGTATGTTGGAATTTCCATGACGATGGACTCAAACAAATGACAATCCCTGATTGAAATATTTATGTCATCATCAGTTACACAAACTATGTATTGTGAGTGTCCACTAGACTCTGCAAGATCTCAGCTACTCTGTAAAGTAAGGGGTAGCAGCTGTGGATACCCAATCCTTGCTTGTGCTAATAGTGTCATTGGAGGCAGTTTTTATCTTCACTATTCAATATTGCTGCCAGAATCTGTACAAGATTCGCAAAATATTGACAGGGGGTGCATCTCGTCATGATTCAATTCTGAAGCATGCCAACAACAAAGGGATGAATTAATGAAATCAATTTATAATAGTATATTACCTTGATGTGCTTTGTCATACTCTTTCACTCAGCTGCCCTCGTTCATGCGTTTGTTTCCAGTGAGAGGCTCTGATTGCCGTCGCTTCAAACCTGCTAACTGATTCATCAACCTCAATTGCACGTTGTTCAGCAAAACTTTTGTTGGACACTTGTACTTTCTTGCGCTTACGGTTGCGATGATGCCGACACTTGTTTGACGAAGAAGGAGCAGCGACTACAGGCGTGACAGAACTATCACAGTCTGTCATACTTTATTTGAGTGCATTGAGATCATCCAATGTGATGATGTCATCATCTGAATCACTTGCTTAGTTGTCTGAACTATTGCTGCCCTCCAAATCACAGCCTGAATCTTCATTGCTTTCATCATCATTACTGTCAAAGAAGCATAGATGAGACATACATGCATCAGGACATGTAAATTTGCCCATCAATAAGCCCCATGGATTTGCTTCTCAAATCCTCTGACAGGATAAGTTGTGTGCACATCAAGTCAATCTTGTTTTCTGTGCCATGACTCTTATTCAGATTTGCCATACAGTTCCTACTGATTTACTACTGGAATGGCAACTGTTTCAGTTGGAACAGGAAGCTCATGCATTTTTGCCTACCCAGCAGGACCATCCCTCATATATACAACCTCATACACACCCACAATGTAGAGGAAAAATGCCAGGGAGTTGTGCTATTGCAGTTTCTTAGCAATTGGATATCCACTAGTCAAAACCTCATCAAGGACAAGCATTGTGACTATTTGGAAATCAAAACACCTTTATCAACGATTGATAACAATCATCATATATTACATAATGAGCTTTCCGGTTCTACCCGGATCATCCCGATAAGGGTTCAACTGCAGTTCTGTATATTTCAAATATTGTCTATCACAACAACAGGTATATTTCGAATATTTCCATTACAACATCAGTTATATTTCGAATATTTCCATTACAAAATTGCTATAAAAGGACGCAGTGTTTTAACCAAATAAAGCATCAACTTCTGAATATCTTACCTTCGAATTCCCTATCATCATATCGTTCAGGAGCTCTGGTAGCATAGTGGTCAATGCGCCTGTCTTATATTGAGGCACCTCCTCATGTGCACGCAGGATATCGTGGGTTCAACCCCCACCCGGAGCAAGTTTTCCGTATGACCGACTAAAACTTTTCACTTGTACCCGTTTTTCTGGCGATATCCTCCTCTCCTGCATTACTGTTTGCTTCACAGTCCTTGCGAGTATGCGAGGAAGGAAGAGAGCTTGTTGCTTCCGAAAGCAATTTTTTTCGCCAAAATTGACAAGTAAGCCTCTATTTACAGATGCAGAAACTCACGTAACTGCTCTGTCATAGGTGGACTTTTGTAGAAAGACGGCCAACATTTATGTGTTTATTGTCAAGGACTGGATTCTCAAGTTATTGGTCCCACGACGATAAAAGCATACACATAGTGGCAAGAAGAAAGCACTACTGTGTGCTTCATTGAATGTAATTCACAATAAGGAAAATCATAATAGAGGATGTTGTAGGAGAAATCAACGTTTTTGAGGAATGGTAGCCTCAAACACAGCCTTCATCTCGCGCAACGATTCCAAGAAGTTATAGCGAAACACATCATTTTGAAGGTGCAGAGAAACCAAGTTGAAGTGCAAGCTTTCCTCCTTCACCATGTACGCAACACCATATCCGTCGGAAACAACTTGGCCCCACCCATAACCTAAGAAGTACTCAGACGTTATTTGCGACGTTGATAAAGTCCAGTGCGAAGAGGTAGAGAAAGATGCATCTGTAAACAAAGCTGGCTTGGTCTCGCCAGGCTTGATCAAGAGGCGCAGACCCAACAAATGGCGATCAACACCGCGTCCATCAGCAGCAAGGGACATGTATGACGACTGAGCAACAACCGCTTTTCGCCCAAGCTGACCCTTCTCCTCTGTTGTCAATGATTCATCTTGCATTGCTTTCACCCATGCCACTGACTCGGCCGAGACACTGCGTCCTGTCTCTGTCCGCCCGTACGCGTACTTCTTGGTCTGTGCGCTTTCGTAAGTAGCAACGCATTTTCCGTAAGTCTTGAAGTAGGCAAGCTGAATTGCCATTTGGGCATATGCGTCAGGACTACAGCCCAGATTTTTGATCAAGTTCTTGCCATATCCTTCGAAAACCACCACCTTCAAGTCGTGCTCAGCCACCAGCGCATCGAACTTGGCTTCAGCTACACGAACATCGCGAATGATGCTCGCGGTGAGGTCGAATCCGAGCTTGCGGGGAGGCATCAATTTCTTTCCGGCAGCCTCTCCATGGTCGATCTTGCCCTTCTCCAAGTTATCCAGAATGTATTCGCACATTCGAGAGGTTGGTGTGGCGTCCATCATTGAGTGCTCGCCGTTAAAGCCCGCAACGCCATTATCGAAAACAATAAATTGGCAAGACTTGTCGAAGAACCGGTTGCGACCGTCTCCGACCCAGCATTCCCATGCGCGTTCCTCGTATGTGACAGGTGTCGTGTCGTCGAGACAAACAACAAAAGCTGAAGTCTCAATCTTGTCAAGAGAGGCCCTGTTCTTTACAGATGACGCGATGAACTTTTCTCGCAGCTTGAACCAAGAGTCGCGGTCTTGGGTAGTAAAGGCGCCAATAGGGAGATCTTCCTTCTCCCCCGCGAAAAAGTAGATGAGCTCAAGCTGGCTGATGTAACGACATTAATGTAGGAACTACCAAAATTTTAAAAGCATACCTTTCTATCTCGGAAGTGGAAAGTTGACGACCGTCCACAATCGCCTCGAGAACGAAGAATTGATTTTTTCGGATGACGATAACATGGTTGTTTTCACTGGGATCCGCCGAACGAGTGGTATCTTCTCGCTTCTGCGGAATACGACAAGAATTGAACAAGAAGCGATACTGGCTTGAACAAAGGGGTGTCTTGCGAGCGAGATCGGGCTCAAGGTCGTGACTTTGGTTGTTAAACGTTACGATTTATGACATGTTACGTGAGACCCAAAATACTAACCTGACGACCAGTTTGCGGAACTGCATCGCGGCAGTGATAATTTCAGCTGCCCGGCCGGCCGGCTTACCAATGAGCCGTTTGTTGTCCACAAAGCAGAAGAAGTAATTCACGTACACGCAGACAGGGTCGCGATAGCCTGCTCAAACCGCGTTAAGTATTACGATCCGTAATTTGGTCTCGCACCCACCCATGTACGCATAGCTGTTCCACCAGTCAATCAACCAGCTGGTTGACTTGCCTTTGTCGTGTTCAATCAATCTTTGTTGCAGCTCCTCGCCCACGCCGCCAGGTTTCAAAAAGTCGTTGACAGCGGCAACAGTCTTCTCATATTCAGTATCGCCGACAAGCGGCCGGACGGTCTTCAAGTAAGTAGTACAAGTCTCGGCCAAGTTTGGAATGGGGAGCTATTGACGAGCGATTTAATCAACAATTGAGCACGATGGGAGTACACTATTTGTCAACTACGTACCCGCGGCAATAATTCCTGGTGACGATACAGTTTTCCAGAAGTGGGGCATGAATCCAGCTCGGTGACAGGTACTGGAGCGGAGTGTTTCTTTGATGCTAGCTCACGCTCTGCAGCTTCCATTGCTGCAATGTCGCTCAGGTCTTCATCAGAGGCGTAAGTCGGAGTCGACCTTTGGAGCTGTTGTTGGCCGCGTTGGCAGGGATGGGCAAAGTGGAGATAAAGGCCCTCGAACCTTTGGCTTCAGACCGATAGCGTTCATGAGGTACGGGATGAGAACGGAGGTGAACGGGTTTCCGTGCGCTGGCTCTGTACGGGACACGACATGTGCTGCGGGTACGGTCTGTGTCTTGCGGTGAGCCCGACCCACAGCCACGCAGCGGCCCTCACCTCCACCACAGTAACGCGCGACTGCGCCAGAGTCCTGTTCTTGCGCGTTCGCACCTGCGATCGGCTTCTCGTCTCGGTGACAGAGCTCATTCTCGTAACTTGGATGCAGTGGAGGTTATCTGGCTTTTCCAAACTCCTGGGCTCAAGAAAAATTCCGGAACTGGCGGCGGACAACGACACCGTGAGCAAGTTCCATCATTTCGCTGAAAAGTGGGAGGAGTCTCTCACCTCGTCTTCACTGCGATGTTGCTGAGTGCTCCAAACTTCGGCCGGAGGGTCCTTTTGCGCGCGCTTCGACACGGAAAGCGAAGCTGGGGTTGCACGCACACAAAGAGTGCAAAATATGCGATAAATGGAAGGCCCCTTGCTCTTTTGAATCCGGAGTGAGTAATCAGCCGTTGTGGGTGGCGTAAAAAAAAAAAAATGAAGAAGTTGGATTATTCATCAATAACGTTCCGTTCCTCGTCATATCCCCCCCAGTTATTCGGACTAGGGTGCCGGTGGTCGCTGTTCGAAACGAGCTTGTATGATGCGGAGACAGAAGGGCGGGAAAGACCTTGATGAATAATCTGCCACCAGAATGTCCAAAATGACTCAAAGAGTTCATTTCGAACAAGGGAAATCAAAACGTTAGGAAAGGCGAGGAAACTTTGGAAACAAAGCTTCTCCTTGGGAGGCGCGGCATCTTCAAAAACGGGTCGCATCTCTTTCAAGGCTTCCAACAGGTTATACTTCATGACACCATTTTTGTGGGAAAAAAGACATCAAGCTGAACAGCGGAGCGTTCGAGTTCACCACGTAAGCACAACCTTAGCTGTCAGGCACAACTTCTCCCCATCCCTATCCATTGTAGTACCCGGAAGAGATTTGTGACGTAGACAAGTTCCAGTGTGAAGAGAGTGCGTAGGATGGGCCCGTGTAGATGGAAGGCTTTTCTTCTCCCTGCTTGATCAAGAGGCGAAGGCCCAGTAAGTGGCGATCCATACCCTTTCCATCAACAGTTAGGTTTATATATGAAGATTGGCATGCGATTGCCTTGCGGCCCAGTTCCCCCTTCCTCTGATTCTATAGTAGAACTTCTTTTGAGCATATTGATTTTGAAACTACACAATCCACCCTCAGAAATGTTGGGATCCTGCATGGCCTTGACCCACTGGATAGATCAACAGATACGCCACGTCTGGTTTCTGTTCGGCCGAACGCGTACTTCTTTGTCCGAGCACTCCTCAAAGTCCATAACCATAAAACCGAGATGGATAAGAGGAATCTTACAAAAGAAAAACTTCACACAGACCTAAAGCAAGCTTAATGTCGGTGACCACTTTGTATCGCAAAAAAGTCCGCCTACCTGTCAAGGAGGGAACTCTCTGATTGTCAGAGCAACAACAGCCCCATCAACCGGTTAACCGGTTCCGCATGTACCTTGAAAACAATCTTGGTGGAGCGAGGAGATCAGGAACGTGCGATGCGGAAATCGGCGCGCAAGGAGATTCTGGATGTCTTCTCGAACGCAGGGAAGGTCAAGAAGCCCGCCGTCTCTAACTTGTTCACTGACGTCTATGACGAGATGCCATGGAATCTGCAAGAGCAGAAAGGAAAGCTTGAAGAGCTCATGAAAAAAGTATCCATCGCACTTTGATATGGCGTCGTACATCCCTGAGAAATGATTGCTTTTCAACTTCCCTGACCATTGCTGCGTCAATAAACAAAACTATCCATCAAAATACAATTTGACCATTGTCTACGAGAAAAAAAAAGTAACATGAAGAGGAATAAAGAGAATGTTCATTCCTTAGCATACGCCGAAGCGTCGTAATGCACAGAATACTCCTTCATGAGCTCTTCCAGATTCTCCTTCTGTTCTTGAAGATTCCAGAGAAGCTCATCATAAACATCCGTGAACAGATTTGAAACCGCCGGTTTCGTGAGTTTCCCTACTTCACCAAAATAAGAAAGCACCTCAGCGCGAACTTCTTCCTTCAGGGATTGCTCCTGCTTCTCACTCCACCATTTTTGATCCTCCAGGTATTTTCGGAAGCGGCTGATGGGTGCATCTTGCTTCATCCATCTTTGGGAGGTAGGCCGACGAGTCATCTGAAGAGGAATGGTGTCCGACACTGTACAATTGTAATTAAGGACGAATACACTGATGGGCTAGATAATGCACAGACCGGTAGGTCAACGCTTCAATCAAGACAGGTTTCTGTTCCT